GAACAGCATGACGGGGAGCAGCGGAGAGGGTTTAAGCAAACTTTTTCATCTTTCCTCAGGAAAGCTGGTTCTGCCGGGTCTCTCCGCACTCCGTTTCTCGCGGCACAGACAACTGTGCGCCTGGCCTGCCTTTCCCGAGTCTGGCGTCGTTGCTCAGCCTTTGTCCCCCGGCCCCCTCCCCCTGCACTTGGACTCGGGTTTCCGTCTCACTGCTCCGCTTCGCGTCTCCTTCTCCGTCTCCTTTGGGCGTTCCCTCCCGCCTCTCTTTAGGGTGACCTCATCCCTTTGTTTCTCCCCGGCTGCGCCGCCGGCCCCCCGCCCCCCGGCCCCTCCCCGCGCCCCGGCCCCTCCCCGCGCCACCGCCCCGACTCTGGGCGGAGCTGCGGAGGCGGTGGGCGGGGCCTGGCCGCGGGGCGTTGCTCGCACCGCACAGCTCCTCTTATAAAACCTCGCTTTCGGGTTAGGCTTCCGGTTTTCCGTTTACCGCAGCACCGCGCAGTGTTGTTTTAACGAACCTCCGCCAGCTCCTGTTTGGGCGCTAACTGCTGCTTTCGGTGGCCCGGAGAACAAAAGCTTTGGGCCTGTTCACGGTGGAGGAGTACCAGGGGCGCCGCGCGGGCTCCCTCCCTCGCTCTTCATTAGTCTGTTGGCCTTCACCCCTTGCTTGCAGGACCAGCAGCAGGCTGCTTGCAGGGACTGGGCCCTCAGTCATGTCAAGGTTACTCTGCGGGGCGGGGCGGGGCGGGGGGGGGGGGGGGGGGGGAAAAGAGTGAAAGCTGGGTCAACTGGAAATCCGCAGTCTTGTCCCTCCGATTTTTCCTTACCTGGAGACTGCAAAAAGCACATTAGCATTCCTCGGGTTGTGCGCGCCTGTTTCTTCAGCACCTGGAAAGGAGGAAGGTTTCTGTTTGTCGGCAGGAAAAGACCTTTGGAAACAAAGCAGCAATGCCTTGTCATTAGGTTATAACAAGTGAGAAAACCAGCTAGGTCAGAGCCAGAGACAATGATCCTTCATTATTAAAAAGAGGGGGAAAAAAAAGTTTCCCAGGCTGCTTCGTTTGAGCTTACCATTTCCCGCGATGAAATGCAGGCTCCTTAGACAATTGAGGGAAGGAAGGTGACTGAGGCAAAAGGGAGGAAATGAGATGACTTCTGGAGATGTGGCCGAATTTAGACCTGGTGTGAGATATTCTCTTAACCTGGAAACATGGTACCGGCATGTATTCGTTCATTCATCTAATATTGTTAAAAAATGGTTAAGGAAGTCAATTTAGGTGTTACAAACAGACTTTATTTAACACTTCGTGAAGCCAGCAGTCTCTGGTCTCAAGGGTCCCAGGGAACTGCAAAATGAGGTGAAAGGAAGTTTTTATAGGATAAAGAATGAGGAACAAGGAAATAAATACAGAGCCCAGGGTTGGCTTGACATTTGGGGATGGGCTGACTGGATATACTATGTTTCTGGTTAAGTGGAGCATTTACAGGGACATGAAAAGTAACTTTCAGTTTACTGACATGGTGCCAGGGGCAGGAGCGCCTCCATCTTGGGCCTAAAAATTTACTTCAAAAATATGTATTGAACACTGAGCACTTACTCTGTGATGGACTTTGGCTGTAAGTGACTTCAGGTCCACTTGAGAGCATAGCTCTGAGGAAGAGGAGGGGAGAGCCAGGGTGTGGCCTTAGCTCCCCTAGGGCCTGGATGCCCCTCCCCTCCCCCCAGTCTGAGACTGTGAAGGGACCTGGAGAGTAGAGGAGCTGGAGAGGAAGACCAGCCACACTTGTAAGTGATGTGGGTAAGAAGCTGATGGGGCTTAGAGCTTTCTCTCTCTTTTTCTGACCTCTTTTTCTTACTTAAGTAGGTTAAAACCAACTATGGCAGAGAATGAATGATTTGCATCTCCTATTTATTTTTAGCAGTCTTGGTTTTTCCCCCCAACTAGGACAGTAAATTTCATTCAGATTTTCCACACAGATGACAGGCCTTAAAAATTGTAAAGTAAGGTGTTCTTTAGAATAGCTTCGGTCTCTCACATCAAGGCTTTGGGGAAGGTGGGGAAGAGGCAGCTTTTGGCTGACTGAGGAATGATGTGCTCCTGCATTCTGAAAGGGTTGAAATTAGGTGCCAAAAGAAAGGTGGTGTCTGCCTTCCTGATGAGGTGGGTCATTACTAGTTCACAGAAGCACCTGAGCAAAGTCATCCTGAACTGTGCAGATTCAAGAGTCTTAGGGTATGGGAGGCTGGTCAGTGGAAGAATCCTGTGCTCCCTCAGTTTGGTGATCCCCTTTGGAGACTGGTACATTTTGAGAATGATCTTAGTCTCATGAATGTTCAATATATATAACTAATTTTAGAAGGTAAGTGACTGTGTGAGGGAGACCCTGTCCATTCCAGGTGGTAGGTTTGGATGACAGTCAACTTCCCTGAGGCTTTCTTTTCTAGGGAAATAGGAAAATGGAACATATATGTTTGCACACAACTAGGACTCTGATACTTAGAATGTTTGAGTCTGAGATCTCCTAGTCAACTCCCTTCATGTAGAGACACAGAAACTGAGGCCCAGGGAAGTGAAGGGACTTCCATGAGGTTGCAGATTTGGGATGTATCATGTTTCTAGCCCTGCTCTCCTGATGGCTAGTCCACAGCTTCTGCTACTTTACCTGCAGCTTCTTATTTCTCTGTGCTTTATGAGAAGAGAAGCACCTCTGAAATCATATTTTTGTGTAAAGAAATATTCAAAAGGAACTGTGGATTTCCTGGGATGGGTCTGTTTGGTCTGGGTGTTGTAGGCCACATTGTGATGTGCAGAAGGTTTGTGGAAGTGCACAAAATGCACAAAGATTAGTAGATCTGGGGCAGGAGGAGAGTGCATTGCCGCCCAGCTCTTGGTGGTACAGATGCTGCTGATCTGAGTGCTGAGCCGCCGAACTGTGAACAGCATTTCCTCCTCGTCTTTTCTTTCTCACTGATAGAACAGCCCTGGGGATTTAAGGAGCCCCCTTTTTTCCCCTGTTACCAGGTCACTGTGTTCCTTCGGCTAATCTGAATGACTTTCACTCCGTTGTCCTCACTCAGACCCAAGACTGAAAACTTGGAAACAGTCCCTGGAGACAGGTAGCTTGAACTGGAGGGTGTGATCTTTTGTCTAGTGACTTAGCACCATCTAACTTGGTTCCACAAAAGCTTTCGCACAGAAGCAACTTACTCAATTCTGATGGTAAAAAAAAAAAAAAAAAAAATGGCTTTTTTCTCTCCCACGAGTGTCCTCCCAGCTGCAGCTCACTTCTCTCCTGGGACTACAGCTGTTCTGAGGCTCGCTCATAGGCGCGGCCCTCCCCCGGGGGCTCAGCCATTCTCCGGGCATTTTTCCCACCACTCACTTCTGCCCTGCATTTCTTCTCAAGCTGTGTGTGATACCTGGATTCAGGTCTCAGTGTCTTTGTGCCCCCTTTGAGTTGAGCAGGTATCAAAGGGATCACAGGACGGAAACCCCTCTAAGGTAGGCAAGCTTCAGTGCCACTCCGTTCTCAGTTCTCTGAAGCTTGCCTGCCCTGGAAGGGCCTCTGCCTTTGCTCTCTAAATTGCTCTGAGAACTCACTTTCAATATTCCTTATTATTTCCTCACCTGTAAAAATAATAATATTGTTTCCTCACTAAAAATAATAGTCCCTCCCTCCACACAGTTATTATTGTTGTTATTTTCCACGGAAAACACTTAGCTCAGTGCCTGGCACAAAGTGATCTATAAATGTTAGCCTCTGGAAGGGTCCGGAACCCAATTCCAGTGTGGGGGTAGGGCTTTCCTATACCAACAGTGCCCTGAACACCAGCTAGGCGTCCTACAATTCAACTCAATTCTGACACCGTTTATTTGGAGATAGCATCAGTTCCCCAGGTAAAGGGCTCAGTCCCCAAGTCTTGCCTTCCTCCCCAGACACCGATGGCAAGCTCAGGTTGTTACCTGTACTTCTGAACGGCAGCCTGTAAGTCAGAGGTTCCCAGAACCCCCTCTTTGAGTTCAATTAATTTGCTTGAGTGGCTCGCAGAACTTGGGAACACTCTTTATTCGCTAGATACCCGGTTTATTATAAAAGGGTGTAGCTCAGGAACAGCCAGGGGGAAGAGATGTACAAGGCAAGGTTTGGGGAAAGGGTGCAGGGCTTCCCTGCCCCCTCCCAGGATGCCGCTCTCCCCAAACCTCCATACATTCAGCAACCGGGGTGCTCTTGAGACTCTGATCTTTTGTGTTTTCATGGAGGCTTTATTACTTAGGCCAAATTGATTAAATCATTGGCCATTGGTGATGGATTCAACCCCTCCCCAGAGGTCAGGGGGCGGGAATGGAAAGTTTCAACCCTCCAGTCACTTGGTGGTTCTCCGAGCCACCAGCCCCATTGCTAGGTGCTCTCCCAAAGTCGCCTCATTAACATAACAAAAGCTGCCTTTATTGCAACCGGGGTCACATGCGATTCAAAGGGTTTTAGGAACTCTGTGCCAAAAATGGGGACAAAGACATAATATATATTTCTTAATAAAAGTCACAATATCACAGTCTGTAATAATAAGATAATATTCTTGCCCTCAAAGATCTTATAATGGAGTTTGGGGAGGAAGTACACCAATAACTGCCATACAAAAAAAATTAATGAAAATACAACCAAGAATGCTGCGGGAGCTTAATGTAAAGGTATACCCTGCCCCAGAGATTGGTAAATGACAGTGTACGGGCTAAGAATGTTTTTTATTTTCCCTACATTTTTAAGTGGTTGACAGGAAATCAAAAGAGTAATGATATTTTGTGACACTTTAAAATTGCATGCAATACAAATTTCAGTGTTCATAAATAAAGTTTTATTGGACCACAGCCATGCTCATTCATTTACACAGCATCTATAGTTTTATTACACTACAATGATAGAATTGAGGAATTGTGACAGACACCATATAGCTCAGAAACACCCCCCCCAAAAAGAAATAACTTTCTGGCCCTTTGCAGAAAAAATTTGCTGACCCCTGGACGGTTCATTTAGGGTGATGCAAGAAAACTCTCCTGCCAAGGAGGTAAGGATTGGGATGAGCCATGAAGGGCAGGCGGGGTTTCAGCAGACACAGGACAGAGAAATGTTTGAGGGGGACCACGTCATAAGTGAAGTCAGAGAACTCAGGGAGTGAGGTGCGTGTTCAGTGAGCAGCACGTCAATTACTTGGCTAAAGTAAAGAGTATGCTCACACAAGAAGTTGGAAGGGCAGAACTGGGTCCATTCCATAAATTTCTCAAATGCTAAAACAATGCATTTCCTTCTAGTGTGATAAACAATGGGAATATTTTAAGTGTTTTGGGAGGGGCGGAGGGTGGTTTGGGGTGGCGGAAGTGGACAAATTACAAAACCATAATTCTGTTTTTGCTTAATCTGATAAAATGTGTAGCAGAGGGTGGAAGGCAGACCAATTAAGAGAGTGTCTATAGTTTTAGCTTTCAGGGAATAATAATAAGAAGGGAATAAGGGAATCATGCTCCAAGGTGGAATTTCAGCCTTTTGGCAAAAGGAGAATCTTTGTCTGAGTTCTCCCTGCACACCCCCTCAGCTACTGCCGCCAGCCACCCCCATTATTCCCTTAGCTCTCCACAGTGATTTAAGCCTTCTGTTGTTTATTCCTGGCTTGCTCCTACACCATGGCGCAGCCAGACTGTACACACAGAGGCTGCAGAGGTACCAGGCAGTTTTACTTTTTTAAGCTCATGAGCTTTTTTTTTTTTTGTAAGATTTTATTTTTAAATAATCTTTACATCCAACGTGGGGCTTGAATTTACAACCCCAAGATCAAGAGTCACACGTTCAACTGACTGAGCAGCCAGGGGTCCCAGACTCACTGGGCTTTTATATGTGACTTTAAACTGTGAGTTCAGCCTGAGTAGAAAGTAGGGAATTATTCTAGCTCGGAGCTATCCAGTTGCCCCAACTTGAGTTGCCCCAACCACAAGGGAAAATGCTTATCAGATTGCCCTGGAATCTTTTTTTTTTTTTTTTTAGATTTTTTTTATTTGTCAGAGAGAGAGAGAGAGAGAGCCCACAAGCAGGGGGAGCGGCAGGCAGAGGGAGAGGGAGAAGCAGGCTCCCCACTGAGCAGGGAGCCTGATGCGGGGCTCAATCCCAGGACCCTTGGACCATGACCTGAGCTGAAGGCAGATGTTTAGCTGACTGAGCCACCCAGGCATCCCAGCCCTGGAATCTTCGTAGTCTTGGGTCTAGTCTTGAGCAGACACAGGCGTATGGGGAATCACTGACTTCTGATGAGTAAATCAGAACTCAGGGAAACGTGGGGGCATCACCCTACCTTCTGGGACTCTGAAGCTCAGGACAGTTTCCCAGGCCTCTCCGTGTTGTGACATATCCATAAAGCCCGTCATTTTTTGAAGTTTCACAGTGCTGGGCCGACTTGGTGCTCTGTGTGGCTCTTTGGGTTGAGCGATACCACTTATGAGAGGGTTATGGCACATCTCATAGTTGTCTATGCCTCAAAAAGAAAGGAAAGTGATTTTCATTCACCTCAAGACCTCAGAATCAGACTTGATATTTCCTTATTTTTACCCAATTCAGTCTAATTATTCTGGCTCAAAGATCAGATTATGATGGATCCCTGTACAGCTCATACAGACTCATTCAGAAGTTGTAGAATTTGCCTACTTAGTTTCAAACACTTTCTCTCTTTGGTGGCACCAAACAGTGTTTCTCCCTACAGAACCACAAAGTGGGAGGTATGCTGGCTCTTTGTGCCATGATGAACCCTGTCACTAAATTCCTCCAATGAACTATGTGGCATAAATAGTATGACAGTTTTTGAGAATATAATCAGAGCAACTAGTATGACATCCATGGAATGTTCTGGATGGATTTCCCTGTTTGCTTTATTACAGTTGTGAGAAAAAGAGCTAGAGTAGTTGGTTCAAAGAAAAGGCAGTGTCTCATTCAGGAACTCTGGCTGAATTAAATCCTCAGATTTGGGAATAAGTCACAGAACCTGCTCTTTACCACCTGCTCAACCCCTTCCTTCTGATAAGAATGCATATCGGTGACTCTGGTTCATTCATCTGCCTTTCTCATGTAATTAAATAGCCCTAATTCCTGACCTGGAGTCCTCTCCCTGCCACTTTCCCCTGATCTCTGATATTTTTTCTCTCCTGCTTTCAGAATTAATAGGGAGCCTGGTCTTTGGGCTGTTCTCAACATCTCAAGTGTGAATCTTCCCTGTCAACATCTTCACAAGGAAAATGAGTCATGGCATCAACCTGGGTGATGAGGTCCTGATACCACAGCCCCTGCTTTGAGAATGTATTTGTACTTTTCTTTGGTAAAGAGATTTTTGAAAGGGGAAGATGAAATTGTGGTGACAGCTCTGAAGCCTGGTCCTTTAGACACTCGGCTAGCCCAACCCTAGTAGGCACTGGCCATACGAAAGTCCTGCTCTGAATTACCCCATCCTCCTCTCCACATTTCATCTTGCCTGGGAGCCTGCAGGGAAACCGTGGCAGAGAGTAGATCAGCCTTGTCTTCTTGGGATGATTTTATCTCACATGCAACCTGTACAAGTCTTTTGAGTTCAAATCCTGGCTCTGCCGCTTATCAGTTGTGTGATTTTGAGCAGTTACTTAATGTCCTGTGCCTCAGTTCCTTTATCTGTAAAATAACGGTACCCCCTATGTAGCCTTGTTAGAATTAAGCTAGTCAATATATATAATATATTTAATAGATATATTTTTGTGTGCATATAAAATATGTAATAAAATACTTGGACGAAGAGTACTGGGCACATAGTACTATATATTTTTTTCAGTTTATTATTAGTATTATTTCCTCCAAGGATCGGATGGTATTTTATAGTCTTTACCTTTAAAAGGTTTTGTTGTTGTTGTTGTTGTTGATGGAGAGGGGCATTTATTATTTTTATGAAATGTGCATAGTCCTGAAAAAAATTCCTTCATGAGCCATCAAGGAAAGAAAATCATAAAATATTTATCAAATAATGCACTCAGTCCCTAGACTCCAGAAAGTAGTAATTTTCACTTCACTCATAATATCTTCTTCCAAACAATTATTTATGGAGTTCTTAAGTATTGGGCCCTTTACAAATACTACTTTCTTTCATCTAAAGAAAATTTTGCACAGTAGGTATTAGTATCCCAATCTGAAGGTTCGTGAAGACCCTGCATTCTAAAGAAATTAGGTAGTTTACTCTGGGTCATACATTTGAGTAGTGGCCAAGCCAGGATTTGAACTGAAATCATTTGACCCCCAAACCATGCCAGGGAACATGTGATCAGTGAGTGTCAGTGACTGATGATCAAGAGAGAGCTAGATGCCAAAAACAAAGGGAGGGATAAGAAAGGAAGAACGACAAAAACAAACACATCATGAGCAAATTTAGACACAGTTATGATTTACTGTCTAGCAGCTTGGGACTGGAAGCCCCGTTAAATGGAAGTCTATTTGTCCTCAAACTCTATGCCCTTTACCTGACATCCCTGCCTCACCCCAACAAAAACACTCCATTGTTTTTTCCACACATGGAAGAATACCACAACACATCTTCTAGAATCAGGGAGGATACATACTTGCATTTTAAAAAAAAAAAGATTTTATTTATTTATTTGTCAGAGAGAGTGAGCGAGAGCACAAGTAGGGGGAGCAGCAGAGAGAGAAGGAGAATCAGACTCCCTGCTCAGCAGGGACCCCGATGTAAGACTAGATCCCAGGACCCTGGGATCATGACCTGATCGCAAGGCAGACACTTAACTGACTGAGCCACCCAGACATCCCCACACTTGCACTTTTTAAAAGATTTCTAAAGTACTACTGTAAATGGGCAATCACTTACCTGGTGACTGATCTAGTACATTAAGGCATGTGCAAACTATTGCTGATCGATAGCAGTGGCCCTGTAAAATCATCCCACCAGCCACCTCATATAAATAAGCCTACGGTAAGAATCTTGCCATATGAGTGCAATTTCAGGTAGAATCACCTAACTCCCCCTTCCAAACGGGTCTCTGCCCCTAACCCCTCCTATATAGAGATTCTGGAGCCACCTCTGTGCCGGGATCTGAAATACAGACCAATTCTGTTAAGTAAAAAGTGCTTCGAGTCGTCTACATGCTGATGTGAGGGTTGCTACTTCTTCAATGATTACTTCTGAGTGTTTAGCGTTGAATTCTTAGATTGAATTCTCTGTTAAGTTCCTTAAAATGTAGGAGATTAGAGGCCTAGGGTTAAGACCCATTCTACCATTTGTGGGGCTTTCCATTCTGTTTCAATTTTGCAAAAGGCATAGCACACTTGCTCAGCCTAGAGGGACAGTTTTATGAAGTTAAAAGTACTTCATAACCGGTAATACAAAAATTCAAGCTATTCTCTCTCTCTCTCTCTTTTTTTTTTTCCTTAGCAAATGGAGTCCCAGTTCTTGTCCATCTGCCATCAGCTAGGTTTTATAATGACATGCACTCTGATGACAAGTTATGAACCATCACTAGACATTAGCCAAAATGACATTCAAAGAGTTCTACTAACTATCCAGTGGGGGTGTGTTGGATAGAGTTAGAAATCCCAAATCATGAAGCCCCTATCTCCTCAGGACCAGATGTTCCTAAGCTAAGCCCCCACAAAATGTCGGGCGGCTGCATCCACAGCTTTTACCGGGTATGAGTATGACCAGACATGAGTAAACAGAGTAGCTTTCAGAACCTACACTGACAATTGTTTCACTGATGTGTAAGGTCTAGGGCTTGATCCCTGGGATAGATATATGAAATAGTAGCTGAATAAGATTTTTTTTCCAGGCAGGTGGTGGTCAAGTGAAGGGCATATATTTTGAAAATGAATAGATCTGCAGTTTAAGTGAATTTTCATCACTGGAGGCTGGACCATGTGGAGGTTTAGGGATGGATATAGTTAGGGAGGATTGGTGTGTGTTTGGTGGCAGAGGAGAGGGATTATGGTTTATGACTGACACTGTGAACAGATCCTCCCCCTTCCCCAGGATAGAAAGAATGGGTATTGTGGCACATT